CGGAAGTGAGTATGACTCTGGTAGCCTGCTCCTTACAGGAGGAGAGGGTATGGCGTGCGGCCGGCAGAAGGTCGGCGCGGCCGGTACAGGGGGCCATAGGGAGGTCTAGGCTAGGTTAAGGGTAACAGGTCTCAGTTTGACTGAGGCAACCCCCATTTAGTGATTAAGGCTAGGTTGAAAAAAGGAGGCAAAGAATGGTCTTTTTAACCTAGTCAAAAAAAACAAACAAAAAACCTCAAACTGGGAGGGAAAGACCCTCAGGATTTCTGGCCAAAATAGAAACAATTCCTTCTTATATTCACTCTGAGTCATTTAGGCCCAAATTAATGAGCAAGTGGGGTTTGGCCAGGGACCTATTGTTGACTTGGGTTTACGACCAGGTGGGGAATACAGCTGTTTTCTTTTCTTCCTTCCTTCCAGCCTTCCTTCCTTTCTTTCTTTCTCTTTCTTTTCTCTCTCTTTCTGTTCCCCCCCCTTTTCCCTTTTTTTCCTCTTTCTTTCCATTCTGAAGTGTCCCAAGATATCTTGGGGTTTACAGACACATTTCTTTCTTAAGGACCTTGCCTTAAACCCAAATCACTCTGGCTAACCCTGATTTACTAACAATAGGTCCTAAGCCAAACCCATTTGGTCATTGTTTGGGCCTTGATTGACTCAGAGTGGATCATCCAAAATATTGAGTATTTGTGATATTGTATGATTGGCAACCAAACTTGGTGGTCTGCTAAAATTATTTCTGAGCTCTTTGATCTCCTTGTCATGGCAAACTTTTATAGGAAATAGAGACATTCCACATTGATACCTTTCCCTTTTTTATTTCAAGTTTCTTAGTATCTATTAATAACTTGCTGCTCTAATTACATGCTTTTTGTCTTTATCCTTTTTATTTGTTCTTGATTTTGATCTTTGCTCTAACAAGTTAATCTGACTGCATAGATTGCTGATTCAGAAATTACTTCCCCAGTGCTAACTTGTCATCCTAGTAAGTGGTTTTTATTATTTTTGTGTGTGACAATAATTCAGTGGTCATCATTCAGCATCTTCTAAATACATTGTCTTTTTGAAGTGTTCATGATTTACAGAAGTGTGAGCCTTTTGTGTAGTTCAAAAACATTTGGTCTTTTCATATTTTAATCCTAGTATTTTCCAGCACACTTTCCCCCCACCATTCTCTTCTGTTAATCAATTACTGAGTATTAAGATGTTAATGTAGTTTGCAGGATCTTATTGAGATCTTTGTAGAATTTGTCTACTTCCTCATCCTTTGCAACAGATGTTCAAGAATAAACTTGGTTATCTTTATGACTTTTGCTAATGCTTATCAGGAGCACAGACTGGCAAGATGGTCAAATGTTTGATGCTTTTTTGTTAATTGCCATTGGGGGCATAATAAAACAAACTCTATCCATTCTTTTAATTGTCCCCTCTAAGAAAAAGACTGTGCCCCCCTCCCATATCTTCTAGTTTTATTCATAGCAAAAATTTGTTGACATGGTTCATTTCCTTTAGTAGAATATTGCTTCATTGGTCACTGAGCAAGGATCTTACATTTAGTTTCTAAAAATGGCATGATTCATAGTATCCTGTGCTATCTTTTCTGATACTCTACTGTCATTACTACAGAAGTGTTAAGGAACCAAGTCCCATTTTTTACTTTGCATTGTTTCATGGTATTTACATCTAGTGGCTAGCCTACTTTTGATAAACTACTCTATACTTAGCTTATCTTGGTCTGGGATGGTATACAAATTCAGGTATTAGGACCATACTTTGTAGTATAGTTGAACTCCAGAGTTGTATAACTTAGACTGTAATCTCTTTGAGGGCAAGGACTGTTTAATTTTTGTCTTTGTATTCTAGCATTTAGCACACTGTCCTGTATCGAAGAATCTTGAATAGATCTTAACAAATACAAGGAGGACGACTTGTTGGAGGATACTTAATAAATATTTGTTGACTGAATTGTAAACCCAAGGCTAGTTCTACACTATGGTGAAGCATTAGAAATATACATTTGTGGAAGCAGGCTGCTGTAGTTTGATTTAAGCATCCATTAAAAGCGTTCAGCTCCTTGTTCTAGTTCTATTCAAGATTTATAAGTATAGGTATAGATTTGTCTTTATTGGAAAAAAGTCTGATGTTTGATATATAGCTTTATCAGGCAAATTTGAAATGATATAAAAATGTGTAAAATATCATAAAAGTAAGGAATTTTCTTGCCATTCCAGCCATCTCAAACAGATCACCCATTGCTTGGCCTTTCAAAATTTTTTTCAGAAGCATGGATATAAGTTAAATAATTAGAAATTTTTATTTTTTTAAGGGCCAAGCTTTTCCTTCACCTTGATTTAGAATATAACAAGTTAAATGAATCGAGTATTTTAGTTTTAGAATTTATCTGAATCATTGTGAGTTGTTAGAAGTATATATTTCTGAATAAATCAGAACTGAGTGTAATCAGTTCAAAAATAGTAACATTTTCATTTTAAGATATAAAATGATAAACTTGCATCACATAATCACATAGTAAAATAAAAATCTTTTCTTCTTGAGGATTTTATTATTAAAATTATTATTATTTATTTTATTATTTAAGCAAGGGAACATGAAGAAAATAGTATTATTTAAGATATTTAGGTTTTAAATATAGCATAGTGTATCTTTTAATTTCCAGTGTGTATTATTAAATTTGAGTTTTGAAAAAAAACAACACATTTTTGCATTGAAAGATTTAAATGTTTATGTTTCAATTTCCACAGATTTCTGCTCATGACCTCTTTTTAATTTGCATATATTGCATGTATTAATCTGAATACTGTTTAACTAAAGTCTCTACTGCATGCTTCTAAAGTCAATTCTATACCTGATTGTGGGGTAAAATATAGCACATATAAATTAAGAAATAATCCCCCAAATACTAATTTAAACATGAGTTTCATCACTTTTTAACCACTAGACCTTCCTTTGCTAGAGAAGCTGACAAATAGTTATTTTTTTATCTTTTCTTCCTTGCTGGTGTCTAACAAAAAGCAGTAAGTTGCAAGTGGAAAAATTAAAGACAGAGCTAATACAAAAAGGATAGTTAGAAATTAATTTATTTGGTTTGTTATTTGGTTTATCACAAATTTCCTATGGTTACTTTAAAAATTAATGGTCAAGGAAAATTCTTAGTTGAGCTTTTATATTAGGCATTTACCTTAATGATAGTGTGACTCTAGCCCCATTGTGGCTTTTTTTCCTCATAAATTTCATTTGTTTGCTTCAGATGAATGTATGTGTTTGTGTGTGTATACATTCAAAGCAGAGACTTTTCATGAAAGAAATCATTATTCATTAGCTAACTTGTCCTATAGTTTAACCAATCCATCTTAGAAAATTACTATTCCATTTATGATCTATCATTTTACACAGATTCTTCCTTTCATGAATGCCAAATGAAAAAACTAAAATATATGTCATACTTTATAAGCAGAGAAGACACAATGTATATATTCAATACATTAATGAACTACTAGCACTTTTTACAAGTTATATCACTTAAACTTCATATTCCCTGATGTTATGATTTCTATCAGCATAATCAAATACCATTTTTAGTAATGTGTAAATATTACGTGACCCCCCAAAGTGACCATTTTATTGTTTTATTTAGGATTTGTAACTGTTGCTTGTAGGTTTTCACATAATACAGAAATAGAGCAGTCAGTAATAATTAAAAAAAAAAAGATGGCTGTCTGAAGAGAGCAGAGGCATCTACTACAAAGTACCTGAGAGAAACTGCTTATTGTAAATGAGTATTATATTAGACTAATAAAGTTCCTTTAAAGCAAAAAGTGAAATGTTATGTAATTTTAATTTTCTAACAAAAAATATCATCTACGCTTAGCTTCATAGAAAGTCAGTTGGAAAAAGATAGTGTTTCTACTTTGTTCTCATATACTAAAAAAAGGAACACAAATTTGAAATTGGCTCTTTGTGAGTACAGATTTTTTTCTTTTTTGTACTTGTTTCCCCAGTGCCTGGCACATGTTAGATGGCTTAATAAATGCTTGTAGACAGATTTATCTTGAAATGCCTGAAGATAAAAAGTATTAGAGTAAATTGTAATTTATCTTTGGATTAATGGTGATTATGTGTCAAAACAGTGTTGTATTTATACATTAGTTACATTATATGCTAAATGTATTTATCATGCATTAAAAATTGCTCATTTTAGATTCAAAAGAACAGTAAAAAGAGTATGTAAAGTTAACCAAATTAATTTAGACCATCTGATGTTTCTTTATTAATACCACTTTATCATTATAGAACGACTTTTGGATAAATAGATTTACTTGTTAATATTTTGATATATTCATTTTGTGTGAATGTAGGAGTCGCTTTTGTTAGTAAAGGAATAAGAATTTATTATGAAGTACAAAATAAGACATGTTCCTTCCTCTTTTATCTCAAATGTGCCTGAATTTCTCTGATAGTGCTGTGCTGTACCATTTCTCTCAAAGTGTGAGGCAGTATTAGAGAGTAACTTGGGAGTAGTTGAGAGAGTTGATAGTTACTTATCTCTTCATTGGCGGTGAATTCACTTAAAATAGCAAGTTTTAATGTTATGTCAGTTATCTTAAATAAGTAAAGCTAGATCATTTTACAGGGTTACTATAGTTCAAGGAAGATAATGTATTTTGTGCTATCTTACTAGGCTAATTTGCTAGGATGTAAATTGATTCTTGAAATAAAGTAATTCAGGTTTATTACATACCTTTTGATGATGTTAAAAAATCCAAGCCAAACTTAACACCAGGTACAGAGTCAGGCTTTTTATCCAAGGGGTTGAAACTTTTGTTTTGTTTTGGTAGAAATACCTAAGAAAATGTGTTGAATTTTTCCCCGGCTCCTTTCCCCTCAAGCCTAGGGTTGCCTGGGTAAAGAATGTTACGTGAAAATAGAAAGCACGATAGTAAATTTGGATTAATTATGTTTTGGTTTCTTTTCTTTTTATATAGATTTCTATGGAAAGCCTCTGCCACCAGTGATTACACCTCAGACATCTAACAGTGATAGAGGTGATTATTTTAGTTCGTAATTATTTTTCATGTGGTGTTCTTTGTTAAGAAAGACAAGTTATTAATGACTAAATTAACTTAAGGACAGTTTGTTTTTGCAAAGAAGAAAATATTCTGAACTTTCGTAACCTGCAGAAATGACATCTTTTAGGTTCATTGAGATTTCTTCCAGAGATCTGTTAGTTCCACAGGACCTAATTCATCAATTTTTCTACTTTACAGCTAAGTTACTATTTATACTTGCTCTTCATTATTTAAAGAGGCAAAGGGATAATATGATAGGCTTAAAGCATTTGGAACCAAGTTAACATAAAATATTGACCATTCAGTTTACAGTGAACATCTATAGCAATAGACCTAAAGGAAAACAACTTTAGGCAAAAAGCATTTGGACTTGGGACACTTTGATATTTTGTTTAATAATAAACAGTATTTCTATAGTTTACATCTTTAAAATATTTTTTAAGATACACATGCATGTTGGGGTAAATCCTGGGAATTAAAAACTAAAGTTTTAAACTATATTTTTCTATTTTAGCATTAATAAAATTTAAGTTTTGCTGTTTTCTGTAGATTGTCAGTATCCATATTTTGTTTTGGTAGAATAGATTTATTTTGACAAATATAACTGTACAAGGAGGATATATTTATATGACTTTGTAAATACAGTAAATTATTCTTAAAGTATCCCTCCTTATTTGCTCTGATTTTTTCATATTTCTTTTTTTATAGCAAACCTAAAACTTATTCTACACCAAATTATACTAATTGAATATATTATCCAGTGAGAATTTTCAATTTTTGTTGAACTGTTTTCTTTGGTTTGAAAGAGATTTGAAATATTTTCTTGACCAATACATTTTTTGTAAGTAAAATTATATTCTTATATGAAAATCCATTTAAAGAATTCCCATATGTTTAACACATAAACAACAAATTACTTCAATGATCAAGGGTCTGGTAACATTTTGACTCCTTTCAAAGCTATACTATCTCTTTCAGGTTTCCCTCATTCTTTTTCAGTACAATTTTTAAAACTTACAGTACCTAAATTGCATCATAAGTTAATGCAGCTTCCAAAAACATGTGTCTTATAGCCAGGAAGTCAGTAGTTGTGACAGTGAGAAAATCTAGAGCAATAAAAACAAAAAATGTTGGGGCAGCTAGGTGGGACAGTGGATAGAGCACTGGCCCTGGATTCAGGAGGACCTGAGTTCAAATCTGACCTCAAACATATAACACTTACTAGCTGTGTGACCCTGGGCAAGTCACTTAACCCCATTGCCTAGCCAAAAAAAACAAAAAAAAAATGTTGGTAGAATACTATACTCTTCAAAGAGTATTTCATGAATAGACCACAAAAATAATATAATAATAATATATTATGTAACATTATATAATACATTATAATTATATTATTATATATTACAATACAATGTATTATATAATTATTTTTCAGATTAAAAATATACTCTTCAAAGAGTATTTCATAAACAGACCAGAAAAATAATATAATTATAATATATAATATAATATATAATAATATAAGCATTTTTCAGATTAAAAATTTGCATATTGTATACTTTAATTTGAATATTTTTGATATTGTATATATGATGATCATACATATGACATGATTCAGTTATGTATTTTAGTTGGATGTATCAATTCTATAATTAATTAAATGTGTAGCTATAGTTACACCTTAATCACTTTTTGGGGGCATAATGAGGGCTCTTGAATGGTGTCTATGTGAGGCAGAAACATACTATTATCTGACACAAAAACATTAGTATTTTTAAAGTAGGATTAATATAAGTAAATTATGATAGTAATTTACTTTTAATATTATAATCGATAGCATCACATTTTAACTACCATTTCATTTAATCTCTTGAATTGTCATGGAACTCAAGTCCTGACTATGCAGAACTTGAGGGGGATGTTTTGTGCTTTTTTTTTTTTAAACAGATGTCATGTATGCCATATTAGTAAGGAAAAAGCCTTCTATTTCAATACCATTTGCCTAGCGGGTGAAATCTGAGAAATAGTCTAAATCTAGTAAGACATGATTCAGTCATGGATTGAATTATAGAGTTTGAAAATTTTAGTAGCCCAACTTGGTTCATATGTGTGTTTATGTATGTATATTTATAATGTACAAAAACATGTTGCTTTTAAATTGATTTTATATTTTACTTTCTTTATAGTTATATAGTTTGACGCCGTATATGATTGCTTTTCTCAGCTTTTAGTTCCTTCAGTTTTATTTCAGTTTAATTTTTTACATGCAACTGAGAACCAATGCTTTATCTGTTGAGTTCTGGAAATCCTTAGAAAATATAAAGAAAAAACTGATTATAAAATCAAATACCACTGGCAAATACTGAATTAATAGGTTTTAATATTTGTCATAATTTGTTCTTCCCACTAACAAGTTATTTTAAAAGGTGTTTTGTAAATGTATTTGGATTTTAATTACGAATGTTTGATTTATTGTCCTATGCTGAATTTATACTCCTGAAGATCATGAACCATCCTATTTATACACAATAAAGCTATATTTGTCAATTTGGTGTTTCTGTTTTGTTTTTTCTCTTTGGTTTAAAAACTTTACTAATGCAGTTTAAATTAGTTCACTTTGTTACACAAATGTATTGTTGTGTTATTTAAAAATGTTTTCCCCAGGCGTTTTTGTTTATAAAGATATGGAGAAAGAGGTAGTTGTTACAGGCAATTGAAAAAGTCATTGCATCATTTTAGAATTCTAGAAAAATTAAGAGGTGTATGTATTATTTGGGTTTTGGCACAGTGGATAAAGTGCTGGGCCTGAAGTCAGGAAGACTTATCTTTCTGGGTTCAAATCTGGCCTCAGACACTTACTAGCAGTATGATCCTGGGCAAGTCATTGAATCCTATTTGCCTCAATTTCCTCATCTGTAAAAGGAGCTGGAGAAAGCAATGGCAAACCACTCCAGTATCTTTGCCAAGAAAACTCCAAATGGGGTCATGAAGAGTTAGACACGACTGAAATGACTGAACAATAATATGGCTAAAGCTATATTCACAATGGTGTGTTTGCCACATTTTTAAAATCAGAACTATGGTGTGTTTGCCACACTTTTAAAATCATCTTAAAGATACTTAAGAGTTTTAAATTACCTTTTTAAGTGTTGACTGAAAAGAATAAATTCACTTAAAAATTTTAAATGAGTTTTTAGCTAAAGAATAGATATCCTAATAAAAGAATATACCATTCTTTATTTGAAGTGATTTTTTTTCACTTTAATTTATTTTTAGTTTTGAACCTTCACTTCCATAAACTTTTAAGTTTTAAATTTTCTGTGCCTCCCTCCCCAATATAGTGTGCAATCTGATATAGGCTCTACGTATACGTTCCTATTAAACATATTTGCATATTAGTCATGTTGTAAAGAATAAATGGGATCAATAGGGGGAACCACAAGAAAGAAGAAACAAAACAGAAGAAGAAGAAAAAAAAGAGCAAATAGTATGCTTCAATTTGCATTCAACTCCATATTCTTTCTTTGGATGTGGATAGCATTTTTCCATCATGAGACTTTTGGAGATGTCTTGGATCCTTGTATTGCTGAGAAAAGCTAAGTCTGTCAAAGATAGTCATCACACGAGGTGGCTGTTACTATTCTGGTTCTGCTCACTTCATTCAGCATAGGTCCATACAAGTCTTTCCAGGTTTTTCTGAAGTCTGTTTGCTCATCATTTCTTACAGCACAATAGTATTCCATTACATTCATATACCACAACTTGTTCAGCCATTCCCCAATTGATGGGCATCCCCTCAGTTTCCAATTCTTGGCCACCACAGAAACATAAAGTTGCTATAAATATTTTTGTACATGTGGGTCCTTCTCCTGTTTTCGTTGGAATACAGCCCTAGAAGTGCTATTGCTGGGTCAAAGGGTGTGCACATTTTTATAGCCTTTTGGGCACAGTTCCAAATTGCTCTCCAAAATGGTTGGATTAGTTCACAACTCCACCAACAATGCATTAGAAGTGTTGTACACAGTAACAGCCACAATGTGCAATGACTAACTTTGATAGACCTAGCTCTTCTCAGCAATGTAAGGATCTAAGACATCTTCAAAAGTCTCATGATGGAAAATGCTATCCACATCCAGAGAAAAAAATAAGGAGTTTGAATGCAAATTGAAGCATACTATTTGCTCTTTTTTTTCTTGTTTTGTTTTGTTTCTTCATTCTTGTTGTTCCTCCTGTTCCAATTTTCCCAGGTCTTCTCCAACATTTATCCTGTTTTGTCATGTTAGTCAATCTGATAGGTGTGATGTGGTATCTCAGAGTTGTTTTGATTTGCATTTCTCTAATCAATAGTGATTTAGAGCATTTTTTCATATGACTGTAGATAGCTTTAATTTCTTCATCTGAAAACTGCCTGTTCATATCCTTTGGCCATTTATCAATTGGGGAATGACTTGTATATAAATTTGACTTAGTTCTCTATGTATTTTAGAGATGAGATCCTTATCAGAGACACTGGTCATAAAAATTCTTTCCAGTTTTCTGCTTCCCTCCTAATCTTGGTTGCATTGACTTTGTGCAAAACCTTTTCAATTTAATGTAATCAAAATGATCCATTTTGCATTTCATAATGTTCTCCATCTCTTGTTTGGTCATAAATTCTTCTGTTCTCCATAAATCTGACAGGTAAGCTATTCCTTGCACTCCCAGTTTGGTTTTAGTATCAGCCTTTATATCTAAATTGTCTACTCATTTTGACTTTATTTTGGTATATGGTGTAAGTTATTGATTGTTTCTATGATTTATTGTTTGACCCACTCATTCTTTAGGATTAGATTATTTAGTTTGCAATTAATTTTTAGTCTATCTTTCTGTGGCTCTTTATTATATGTAATTTGTATTGCATCATGATATGAAAAGAACGCATATAATATTTTTGCCTTTCTGCATTGGATTGTGAGGTTTTTATGCCCTAGTACAGGGTCAATTTTTGTGTAAGTGCCATGTACCACTGGGAAAAAAGTATGCTCCTTTCTATCCTCATTCAGTTTTCTCCAGAGGAGTACCATATCTAAGTTTTCTAAAATTCTGTTCACCTCCTTACCTTCTTTCTTGTTTATTTTGTTATTAGATTTATCTAGTTCACAGAGGGGGAGGTTGAGGTCCACAACTAGTATAGTTTTGCTGTCTATTTCTTCCTGTAACTCCTTGAACTTCTCTAAGAATGTGGATGCTATACAACTTGGTGCATATATGTTTAGTAATGGTATTACTTCATTGTTTATGGTGCCTTTTAGCAGGATGTAGTTTCCTTATCTCTTTTAATAAGCTCTATTTTTGCCTTGTCTAAGATTAGGATTGCTACCCCTGCTTTTTTTACTTCAGCTGAACCATAGTATATTCTATTCCAGCCTTTTACCTTTACTCTGTGTGTATCCCTCTGTTTCAAATGTGTTTTTTGGAAACAGCATATTGTAGTATTATGGTTTTTAATCCATTCTGCTATCCACTTCCGTTTTATGGGACAATTTATGAACGAATTGTTAATTTTTCTTCTGCCTCCCTTATTTGACTTTTAAAATCCTTATTGAGCTCTTCCAAGAAGCTTTTTTGGGCTTGAGGCCAGTTTATATTCCCCTCTGAGGTTTCAGATGTGAGTATATTGACAATGTTATCCTCTCTTTAATTTGTGTTTTGATCTTCCCTGTCACTAAGATACTTTTTTCTGACTTTTAAAGTTGATCTCTGCTTCTGGGGCACAGGGGGCACTGTCCAAGGCTTCTTGTGCAAAGGGTTAGGTTTTTTGTTACTGGTTTGCTGAGGTGGGGTTTGCCACTGGCTTGCTGGGATGCCTCCCTTCCTGTACTGGTTCCCTTCGGCCACAGCAAAGCGGCTCTTTCCCATTAATCCCTCTAGCCTCATAAGCTAAAAGACTGTGTATCTAGTCCTGGGGCAATATTCTCTGGGTTTTTTAAGGTCAGTAAGGGAAGGTGAGAGAGACTTACTGCTTATTCTGCCATCTTCGATCCCAGAAGTCTAAATAGGTGACTTTCAAACATTGAGTCTGTGAACTAATAGCTCCAGGAGCAGCGCAGCTGCTGCCACTGCTGCTGATTCAGTCATTTTAAGTGATTCTTAAATGGTTCTGTTTATCTGACTCTTTTCTCTCATGGTTTTTGTGCTTCATGTTCC